AGAGAGAGAGAGAGAGAGAGAGAGAGAGAGAGAGAGAGAGAGGAGAGAGAAACAAAGGTGAAACAGAGCCTGGCAGCCTCTCCTGGGTCACTCACTGAGTTCTGGCACTGAACTCTTTCAGTACATCAATGACCCTGTTGTCACGGACCTCGTGATTGACGAAAGAGAAGTGGCTTTCCTTGTCAGATCCTGCATGGATAAGAAGTTAAAAGAAACACTGAACTCCCTGACAGTAATTTTCCAACTCTACTTACATAAGACATCTGTGTTTTAGGGCTCTCCATCTGAAAGTCAGTCCCCCTCCCCATCATCTGAAAACAAAAATGTTCACTCTTAAATATATTAAAACAGCACATAAAATTCAAGGAGAACCAATTTGCATTTCAAACCAATCAGAAAAATGTCCATTTCCTGAAACAAAGAGGTAAGATGTTGGATATGTTTACAACTCATTCTATTTTGTCTTTCATCTCCATAAAATATTTCTACCTGCACTCTTTTTTTGGTCTTCTTGAGGCAGGGTCTCACTATGTAGATCAGGCTGGCCTTGAACTTATTTTGTAGCCCAGGCTGGCCTCAAATTCTTAGCAAAACCTCCTGCTTCAGCCTCACATGTGCTGGAATTACAGGCGTGCACCTCTACACCCAGCTCTATTTACCTTCAAAGCCATATTCAAGGCCGGGGAGATAGCTCAGTGGAATAAGCACTTGGCCTGGTAAGCGCAAGGACCTGAGTTCAATCCCCGGTTCCGCAAAAAAAAAAAAAAAAAAAGCCATATTCAAATATCCCCTCCTCTCTGAAGTCTTGACTTTCTCTAGATTATTTGTCTTGATGCTATACTATTTATACTATTATTACTATTATTATACTGTACTATATTTATACTATTTTTTATGCCTTTCTTTATCCTGTTACTTCAGGACTACATTCATAAAACCAGTGCAACATCCATCATACAGCTGCATGTAAATATATCTTCTCAATGGGCTAAAAAGAACTGTGAGGGCTCACAGACTAAGCGCCTGCTTAGGCAAGTGCAGGGGCCAGGGTTTGATTCCTGGCCCTGCCAGCACGGCCCCCAGGCGCACTGAGGGCATGGTGGTGTGGGTGTGGTGTTGCATGCCTGTAATCCAAGCAATTGAGAGGCTGAAAACAGGAGGATCACTATGAGTTCCAGCTGCATAGGGAGACCCTGCACAAAATTTAAAATTAAAATTAAAATAAATTTAAAAAGTACCATGAGACCAGGAGCTTCCTGCACCAGAGGGCCTGACATATTTC